GAGGAGGAGGAGGAAGATGAAGAGCCTGTGGAGGACCTGCTGAAGCCCGGCCACCTGACTCGACTCCTGGAGGAGGAGCTGGCAACTGAGGTGGAGGCTCTGTGTGTGGGAGATGTTAGTGCTGGGCTGGAGAGGCTGCTGAGCCGCCTGAGGACACACAGAGACTCCTGTCAGCCGCCACAGCTGCAGGTACCAACAACAGCTGCACATGTGACTGTCCAGCTGCAATTAAAATGGCGTTTATTGATCCAAGAGCCAGTGAGCCAGTATAGATTTTGTGACTACTTGCCCATGACCCCGTTCTTTATGTTAATTTTGCCTGTTGTTCATACACCCTGGTATGATGGTGGCCACTTCATATTATTTTCATTCCAGTAAGGGACACATTCTCAAACATGGCTATTAAAGAAAATTTCTAAAATATTTGCGTATATTGTCAATTATAGATCTTTGAAAGAAAATCTGTATCAGCAGGTCAGGTTCGATGTATGATGTCCCCAAAAGTTAACGTGTGTGTGTGTGTGTGTGTGTTGTGTTAGGAGGTGAACAGGCGCGTGCGAGTTGCTAGTCGTCTGGAGCCTGTTACTGGGGATTTACCTCTGACTGGTGCGTTACTACGTGGCGGATGATCACTGGGAGCAACACAAGGAGCTACGGGTCAAGCGCTGTCTGTTCCTGGCCAGCATCCTTCACGAGCTCGCTCGAGGTACGCACACCACAGCAGTTACTCATTCTCATTTCAAAAACTCACACAGGCATTAAGTTGAAGTGAAAGCAGTGACTAAATGATAGCTGTGGTCTCCTCCTCAGGGTTTCTGCCTGCCTCAGGAGCTGATGGCCGGTGGAGACGGAGAGGGCGCCACAGAGTTTCACGACTACGAGGGTGGTGGAATAGGAGAAGGCGAGGGCACCAAAGACGTCAGTGACAAGATCGAGAACGAAGATCAGGTGATTAAATATCTGCAATTTACTAATACGTTTTTTTTTTATAACATAATCTTAACTCAAG